CCCCAAAACCCCAAAACCCCAAAACCCCAAAACCCCAAAACCCCAAGATCAGTCTTAAGGATTGAACTAGCTTATTTAAATGTATTTGATCATTAAGAGTTGAAGTAGGGTTTACATTCTTGTGTCATGAAAGTATACCAAGCTTCAAACTTCCTTGAATGTGGCTCTCTTGCTTGGAAAATCTTCCTCACTGAGAACATATGATTATGAGCAAATGCAAGAGAATACATCTTAAAATCTGCTGCGTCTGGCACTTCACCTCCATGGAATCTATTATTATCTAGTCTCTCTTCCCAAGCATCAGCCATATCGTGAAAGATTTGGATTCTATTTTGAATTTCTTCTTTTAAACCTTTTCTGTCTCTTCTTTCAGTGATGTGATAATGTAATGGCTTGTAAAACTTCCACAAATAATTCCTGAGGATCTTGCCTGCCTCAATAGAGACTTTCATGTGCAAAAAGTTTTTAGAAACAAAATAGTACTGGAATTTACCTCTCAAAGTATGCTTCATCAGGTTGTAGGCAGGTACAGCTGTCTGGTTTATCCAGTCAATTCCTTGGCTTTCATAAGCACTATAGGTTTTCACATCCTTCAGAAGGCCAAGGTCAAGGAAATATCTAACTATGTTATCTTTCCCCTGAACTTCTGCGGTATCTAGCATATCAGTGGAAGAATCAACAATGAGGAATGGCCATTGGTCGTCTTTTCCAAAGCCCATCTCTTTCCTGATATCAGTAAGACCAATTTTGGATCTTAAAGTATTATCCTCTTCCACATGGAACTCTACTTGGTTTGCTTGCAAAATGTGGAAAATTTCATATCACTCTTGGATCTCTGGGACTACAATGAGGTTGATATAATAAGAATCAAGGTCGAGTTTGACAAAATCTTCAACTTTCATGCTCTGGTCAACCCTGTTTTGTTGCAGCTTCTTGTAAATATCATTTCGAATAGCTGTATATTCAAGGGAGTTCTTAAGAAGGCCACTAGTTCTCTCCTTAAACTCCCTCATAGCAGAAAGGTACGCAGTAGATTCATAGAATTGAGAGTGGTCTGTTCCCTTCTTTTGGAAGGTCTTATTCTGCAGTCTTCTCATGAATAGAAGATTTCTCTTCGGAAGTCTAGTAAGAGAACCTATATTGGTCATAATAAGTTAGTGTATCACCTACCTCTAGTGGTCATTCCTGTAGAGGTAATTCTCTTTGACAGGAGCCTTGAAGCCGCGTTCATTTCTATAAATTATTTCTATAACCATGAATTAAGAAGGGGTTTTGGGGTTTTGGGGTTTTGGGGTTTTGGGGTTTTGGGG